GAGGTTGCTGTGAGCTGTGATGCCACGGCATTCTACTGAGGGCAATAAAGTGAAACTCTGTCTCAAAAAAAAAAAGTGTCTTGCTCTACTGCCCAGTCTGGAATGCTCATTGTAATCTTGAACTCCTACCTGGGCTCAAGTGATGCTCCTGCCTCAGCCTCCTGAGTACCTAGGACTACAGGAGTGCACCACTCTGCCTGGCTAATTTTTTAAATTTTTTATAGAGACAAAATCTCACTCTGTTAGCCACAACTCGTGGGCTCAAGTGATCTTCCTGCCTCAGCTTCCCAAAGTGCTGGGACTAAGTGCCTAGCCAGACTTTGTATATTTATTCATTTTCTTTCACATTGTTCTAGGTAAATGACTAATTTTTCAGCAAAAGTGAACCCTTATAGGAACCCATCTAAAATTGTTAGTGGTGGTGATGGTAGGGACTTGAGTGGAAGGCAGAAGGGAGAAGGAAGAGGTGACTTCTGTGGAATGTCCATTTCCTCTTTGTGGTGGGGGGATGGAGACAAAGGAAGGAAGTGTCAAGGTCCCCAGTCTAATCGCTCTGGAAAAAGACCCAGTCTTTTAAAATTGTATTTTTTTCACTCTCTGTACCTGCCTTCAAGTAGCACAGCTCTGAGTGGAACAGGATCAGGGTGGCTCTACTAAATACTGTTAACTACTGTGTGGCAAATGCTGACCTGAATGCACACTGTTCTTGTATTTTGCTGACTGATGGCAAGGACATTCTGAAAGAATTCTAGACTAGGGACTTTAAACCTGACAGAGAAGACGATCCTGTAAAGCCCAGTGAATAGCTATAATGACTATAATAGCTGATAAACAGTACTTTTAACAGGTTTTGACATAGGCTAAGTAAGCATGTCTTGCTTGTGTGGGGCTGTTTCTGGACTCCTCTTTATAAGTACCTCTATATTGCCTCTCTTTGATCATGCATATCTTTGCTGTGGTTCTTATTTTCTCTCTCTTTTTTTTTTTTGAGGCAGAGTCTCACTCTTGCCCTTCGTAGAGTGCCATGATGTCTTAGCTTACAACAACCTCAAACTCTTGGGCATAAAGTGATTCTCTTGCCTCAGCCTCCCAAGTAGGTGGGACTACAGGCGCTCGCCAAAATGCCCAGCTATTTTTTAGAGACGGGGTTCTCACTCTGGTTCAGGCTGGTCTTGAACCTCTGAGCTCAGGCAATCCACCTGCCTCAGCCTCCCATGTGCTGGGATTACAGGCGAGAGCCACCACACCTGGCCTCCTATTCTCTATACCAGGGGTCCTCAAACTTTTTAAACGAAGGCCAGTTCACTGTCCCTCAGACTGTTGGAGGGCCGGACTGTGGGCCCCGGGACGAGTCGGCTGCTAAGCAGGACAGGCAGCAGTGGCAAAAACACCCAGTGGGCTGGATAAATGTTCTAGGCGGGCTGCATGTGGCCCGTGGGCTGTAGTTTGAGAAAGCCTGCTACACTACCTCACTCTGTGGCACAGAATGAGAAGAGGTACTGACCATGTTTGTGTAAGTAAGAATGTCTTCTGTATATAGAATGGAAGAACTGAATGTTAATATGCACATAAGACTATTAGAGAAAATGCTTATTAATGTGGAGAACATGTGTTATTTCTTCTGAAAGCATTAAATGCTCTATAAAATGACATACAAATGAAATATTAGTGGCTGGGTGCAGTGACTTTTGCCTATAATCTCAGCACTTTGGGAGGCAGAGGAAGGAGGCTTGAGGCCAGGGAGTTTTGAGACCAGCCTGAGCAAGAGTGAGACCCTGTCTCTACAAAAAGTAGAAAAAAATTGGCCAGGCATGGTAGCGGGCATGTGTAGTCCTGGCTACTTGGGAGGTGAGGCAGGAGGATTGTTTGAGCCCAGGAATTTAGGGTTGCAGTGAGCTACAATGATGCCACAGGGAACAAACTGAAAGCACCTGAAAGAAATTGCTTTGGATCTGTCCATAGGAATAAAGGAGGTCTTTGCTACCTATACTTTATGTAAATTTCATGGTTTATTAAGAATTGAAAGAAAGGTCTGCACACTGGACAAGGATGCTGTGGTCTCACTTTTCAACTTCTAGTTAGAAAGAGGTATGCTGAACTGGGCAGAGTCATTGTCATGAAAGCTATGGGAACAAGGCCTTGACTTGAGAGAAATAGGAAGTTACTGATAGCCCAGAGGCCAATCCTGAGTTTCTGATAGCTAGTTAAGAAGGTGACAGAAAACAGTCATGTTTTTCTCCTTGCAGGGTAGATGATACATGGTAAGAATCTGAAGGGCTATGGTTAAAGAAGAAAGTATCAAAGAGCCTCAAGTTGTTTCTCTGTCACCCTTGGTTGACTGCCATGTGTCATAGCTCACAGCAACTTCAAACTTTTGGGCTCAAGCGATTCTCTTGCCTCAGCCTCCCAAGTAGCTGGGACAACAGGTGGCCACCATAATGCCTGGCTACTTTTAGAGATGAGGTCTTGCTCTGGCTCAGGCTGGTCTCGAACCTGCGCGCTCAGGCAATCCACCCGCCTTGGCCTCCCAGAGTGTTAGGATTACAGGCATGACCTTATGTAATTGCTTTTATAAAAGGTCCTTGAATAAAAGTAAATCAAGTTTGGGTGGTGCCTGTGGCTCAGTGAGCAGAGTGCTGGAGGTTGGTTCAAACCTGGCCCCAGCCAAACTGTAACAAAAAATAGCCGGGTGTTGTGGCGGGTGCCTGTAGTCCCAGCTACTTGGGAGGCTTAGGCAAGAGAATTACTTAAGCCCCAAAGCTGGAAGTTGCTGTGAGCTATGATGCCATGACACTCTACCAAGGGCAACAGAGTGAGACTCTGTCTCTAAAAAAAAAAAAGAGTATATCAAGCTCATTTTCCTTAACCATAACTATAAATGAAGTTTATTTATAGTACTAAGGGGCAGTAAAAAGTGAGGGACCTGAAGGTAATAAAACTCGATAGCAGGACAATAGCTTAGAAATGGCCTCCTGCATGATAAATTCCAAAGAATTGGAGCTTAATGGAAAAACTGATGAAAGTGAAAAAAAAAAAAGACTATGATTTAGTTAATCGTATTACTCCAGTGTTAGTTTAGATAACTGTACTATGTTTATGTTAAATGTTAACATTAGGGTAAGTTGGGTAAAGTATACACAGGAACTTTGTGCTAGTTTTGTAATATTTTGGGGAGTCTAAATTATTTCAAAATCAATATTTTTAAAAGTATTAAAGCAAGTGTTAAACTGAAGCCAAGTTCACCATTCTGAATCTGACATACATTTATTTTAAAAGATAGATTCGGTTGTGTATACGGTTTTAGACAAGTCAAACAGTAAGTGGGAAAGTTTAGAAAAACAGAATAACCATTTTAGATTAATTAATTAACATAATTATTTAAATTTATATGTTCATGATTCCTTTATGTAGGCCTTAAAAAGAAGAAAAGCTGTTTAAACATGTCTTGATCGACTCTCGCAACACAAAATCAGAGCTGGTACTGTAAGAATTTAGAAAGTCACATTTCTGAAATTTTAGGACAATAATATCCACAATGATTTAGGCAACATAAAAAAAGATAAATTTATTACCTGAGGTACACCAATTTTTCTGCAAGCTTCTAAGAAATTCTCCACATTTCGCCTGCATTTTGCTATTGTTAATTTAGGCTGCAATGAGAAAAATGTGGTGTTATTAGCAAAGTTTTAAAAAATTTGCTAACTAAAAATACTCTTGTTAATTGCTTCATAAACCCACAATGCTTTAGACTTGGGGGTCAGTAAACTTTTTTTAAAGGATCAGGCAATAAATGTTAGTTCTGAGTGCCTTAGGGACTGTTGCAACTATTCAGTTCTGCTAGAAGCTTGAAAGCAACCAGACAACATACAAATAAATAAATGTGGCTGTGTTCCAATAAAATTGTATTTACAAAAACAGGTGCTGGCCTGTGGGCAGTACTTTGTCACCCTCATACTTTAGACATTTCGTTTTATTTATTTATTTATTTTTTTTGATACAGAGTCTCAGTCAGTTACTCTAGGGTTGAGTGCCGTAGCATCATAGCTCACAGCAACTTGAAACTCTTAGGCTTAAGAGATCCTCTTGCCTCAGTCTCTCAAGTAGGTGGGACTACAGGTAACTGCCATCAAGTGTGGCTAGTTTTTCTTTTCTTTTTTCTTTTTGAGACAGAGTCTCACTTTGATGCCCTTAGTAGAATGCTGTGGCAGCATAGCTCACAGCAACCTCAAACTCTTGGGCTCAGGCAATCGATCCTCTTGCCTCAGCCTCCCAGGTAGCTAGGACTACAGGTGTCCACCACAATGACCAGCTATTTCTTTTTAGAGATGGGTTCTCATTCTTGCTTAGGCTGGTCTCAAACTCCTGAGCTCAAATAATCCACCCACCTTGGCCTCCCAAAGTGCTAGTATTATAGGTGTGAGCCACAACACCCAGCCAGTTTTTCTTTCTATTTTTAGTAGAAGCAGATTCTCATTCTTGTTCAGGGTGGTCTTGAACACCTAAGCTCAAGCAATTGACCTGCCTTGGCCTCCCAGAGTGCTAGGATTACAGTAGTGAGCCACTGTACCCTGACAAACATTTGAATTTTAAAATATTGGATTAAAGAACCTATTTTCCAAAGAGTGATAAAATTATAATAGGAAATTTCTCTAAGTACTAACTAAGCTTATTTTTCTATAAATATCTCTAATGATTAAGAAATAGATTTACATCACATGACCCAAACTTCTGATCAAGTTTTTCATGTAGTGGATTATAATGCAATCTAATGTAAGAAAGATTTATAAATCCCATTTTCATTCAACAAATTCAATTGTACAAATGTATTAGTTGGTTTCCAACATGTTCAAGCATTAAGCATGAAGGCCAAATGTTTGCAGGGAAGCTGACCTTGAGCTTTTATAACGGTAAACAGTTGGAAGCCTGTACCATCTCTGAAAGAAAAAAAATGGTTTCACTTGTAAATATCTGTTTTCTTCAAAGATGGAATATTACTTTGCCACAAAAGAGGGGAAACACGTTAGATCAATAAAAGTGGTTGAAAGTACTACAATTTTGGCTAGAGAAGGGTGGCAAGGGATAGGACTGGCTTTGTCATAAAAGATAAAAAGGTAGTAAGTGTGATGAAAGGAAAATAATCATTTTCAAATTTCAAATGGAAAAACTTCCAAAAAATGTCCAGAAAGAAGACAGGAATTAGGTTTCCATGGAGGGTACCTTGCCTGTGCTGGTTCTTCTATCTCGGAGGTCAAAAGAAAAAAAGAAAATGAAATATCAATAAATAGATCATGATCTACTAAATAGAAGGAGAAAAAACAAAGGGGGTTCTTATTAGCTAGTTGACGCTGGAGCTGGGCTCTTTCCCTTCTACACTTTACATGTGAAAAGCTGAAAAAAGGTTGTTTGGTGGATAAGGGATGCTATGGCCTTTTCAACACTTGGTTGAACTGAGGCACAAGAGTGATTAAATCACTGTAGCAAAAGTTACTGTATAACTTTAAGAGAAACTGGGAAAATAAAGAAAACATAGGACAACTGCTTTTCACTTAGGAGAATTCCTCATTGCTTACAAATTCCTTCTCCATATACCAGTTTCACTTTCTGCCTCATAGAAATGAAAGCAGAAACAGTATAATTATCTTTTCTTCTTATGAAGGCACTTTATAAAGCAGGCCAGGATTTTGATCTGAGTTTGGGAGAGAATTTTTGGCTGAGGCTCCATGAATGAAAGACTCCAGAAAAGAAGGGGACCTGAGCATTCTGTTCTACAACATCTATGGAAGGGCAAAGTTCTGAAACAACTTTGTTTCTGTGCAAAAGAAATGATAAGAGGAAAGAGACCAGGTTAAAACTGGTTCAAGAATTATCACTACCATCTCAGATGAAAAGAAAGGAGGTTGGGCGGTAGCTCACCGTAGCTCAGTGAGTAGGGTGCCGGCCACATACACCAAGGCTGCAGGGGTTCAAACCTGGCCCGCTAAAACAACAATGACGACTGCAACAACAAAAATAGCTGCGCATTGTGGCAGGCACCTGTAGTCCCAGCTACTTGGTTGGCTGGGGCAAAAGAATCACTTAAGCCCAAGAGTTTGAGGTTGCTGTGAGCTGTAATGTAACAGCACTCTACACAGGGTGACATAATGAGACTCTCTCTCTCTCAAAAAAAAAAAAAGAATAATGATGATAGATTCTGACTCAGCATTATCTATATGAGGACTGCTAGCCATCTAAGACATAAAAAGGCTGTTTGGAGGGGGAGGTGGGAGTGGTGGTAGGGTAGAATAAGAAATTTCCCTGAGACTTTCCCTGCAGAGAGCAGATTTCTGACTGATGAAGGAAAATAGGGAGTGGTGGTCCTCTTTCCTTCCCTCTCTTAGCATTTATCATATCCCAGAAATACAGGCTTGTGTTTCATAATTGTGACAAAACTCCTTGCATATATATTGATGAAGAATACACATGTACACAATTTTAGGGAGCTCATGGAGCCCCTGAAGCCCTAGGAATCCACAAATACTAGGCTATTAATCCCTCTTCCAAATGCATCTAATGGAATGACTGGGCCACAGGACATAGGGTGTAGACTCCCTGTCACTCTAGAGTACAGAAGGGCTCACGATTGTGCCCTAAGTCAAAACTCATAGGAACCCACTATCCCCAAAGCTTTTCCAGAATCTCAAATGAGATAACAAACACATGGTTTTGGATAGCCACTTATATTCTTTTAGCCTCTTCTATTTTTATATTGTATATAGCCTGTTCTGAATAAGAAACCTTATGTAGGTTTTGGGAAATAAAGTAATTCCAACAAGAGCATAAAGGTCATCTTCTTTACAAATGAGGGAACTGTATGTACCAATACTATACTTCTAAGAATATGAATTATACTACTTAACACCTATGCTGACTGAACAAACAGCATTTTATCAAACATCCTTGATTCTCCCAAAATAACATGATGAATTATAATGTAATGGTTGAAAACACACATACCTTTATGAATTTTTTTAGAATACCTGAACATACGGCTTCCCCTTATAATGAGGATGCCATTTTTTGAATTGTGGTAAAGAAATCATGGTTTGTACAATACAGTGAGAAATTTATTAAGTTACACTCTAATTAGCCAGTTTTCAAAGAATTACAATAAGTTATCATGCATGAATGTAGCCACAAAGAAACTGCTATGGTGTTTTGTTTTGTTTTTTCCCAGACTGGGCATCTCACTCTGTTGCTAGGGCTAGAGCACGGTGGCATCATCATAGCTCACTGCAGCCTCAAGTGATCTTCCTACCTTAGTCTCCTATGGGCATGTATGTGCCACCGTGTACAGCTAATTTTTAAAAAATTTTTATAGAGATGGAAGTCTTCGTATATTGCTGAGGCTGGTCTCAACCTCTTGGCCTCAAGTGATCTTCCACCTCAGCCTCCTAAAGAGCTGGGATTACAGGTGTGAGCCATTGTGCCTAGCCTTGTTATGACGTTTCATCTGTACTTGGCTTTACTTTTATATATTCTCACCACAAAAAATCTGTACTAAGAAAGTAAATGATAAAGCTCCCTATATGGTCAAAAGAACAAAATAAGGGAAGAAATATTTTAATGCAAAGAACAATTCATATAAAGGAGAGTAGATTTATATTGAAATCTAGCACTATAACATCATCTCCATTAAAGTCATATTGATTTACTCATAATATTCATTATCATAAAATGAAAGTAGGGTGTTTTGGTTTGTTTGTTTTCTATTTCTAAGTAAAATATTAGACAATCCTTTTTTTTTTTTTTTTTTTAAAAAGACAGAGTCTCACTCTTTTGCCCAGGCTAGAGTGCTGTGGCATCAGCCTAGCTCACAGCAACCCTCAAAGAGTTCAAGTGGTCCTATCTCAGCTTTCCAAATAGCTGGGACTACAGGTGTGCACCACCATGCCCAGCTAATTTTTTCTACTTTTAGTAGAGGCAGGGTCTCACTCTCACATACTGTAAACTGCTAGAGAAATAAAACACAAGGACCTTCTTTTTTTAAAACAGAGTCTCACTCTTTTGCCCAGGCTAGAGTGCTGTGGCATCAGGCTGGTCTTGAACTCCTGATTTCAAGGGATCCTGTCTTGGCCTCCCAGAGTGCTAGGATTACAGGCCTGAGTCACCTTGCCTGGCCAGGACAATTCTTACATGTTTGAATCGAAGTCCACTTCTTCATCTCCAAATATAGTACTACTTGCTTTTAAGTATCAAAGTATAGCTATTTCATGAAAGACCTCATTCATTCATTTATAGAGACAGGGTCTCCCATGTTAGCTCAGGCTGGACTCAAAACTCCTGGGCTCAAATGATCCTCTTGCCTTCAGCTTCCCAAGAAGCTGGGACTACAGGTGTGTGCTACCCAGGTGACCCCCTTTTTTTTTTCCTTAAAGGAGTTTATGTTCTTGAGAGAATGAACCACTTGTAACTCTTTTCTTTTTTTTTTATTAAATCATAGCTGCGTACATTGATACTGTCATGGGGTATAGTGTGCTGTTTTTATACACAATTTGAAGTATTTTCATCAAACTGGTTAACATAACCTTCATGTCATTTTTCTTAGTTACTGTGTTAAGACATTTATATTCTACCTTTAGAAAAATTCACATGTACCCTCAATTGGATTAAAGATTTAAATTTAAGACACGAAACTATAACAATACTAGAAGAAA